GTCCCGCATCTTTAATTATGAAGTAAAGTCACCATGCGCCACCTGCATTAATTGTAAAATCAAAATAAAAATTTATATTTTGTTTAAATATCGGATTTATGTTTTTAATTTAATAAAATGATTTAACAACACGTTATTAAGTGAATATAATATATATATTTTAATGTTATATTCTTTTTATAAAAATTATATTTATTTTTATCTGTTCGTTAAATATCCTGCCAATAGATGGCGCTACGTTAAAACGAACACTACGGACCAGGATATAAATCAATTGATTTACAGAAACCCAATAGTTATTTTGAAATGCGTTGTTCGAAATTATGTATGTTAGCTGTATGTGGACGTAACTGTCGAGATGAATGATATTTTAAAGAAAAAAAAAAAAAACAACTGGGGCGCGAACCCAGGACCTGCATTGCTGCAATGCAAGCCTGATGGAGAAGCGTTTGAGGAAAAAAGAAACAAAGACGACATGTGGGTGTGAACCCAGCTGCACGCTGCAACGCAAGCCTAATGGCGGACCTTTTGAGGAAAGGAAAAAAATGGCAACAGGTGGTTCGAACCCAGACTGCAAGCTTCAACGCAAACACCCAGGCGGAGCGCAGTAAATCAAACCACCACGCCTTCAATCATAATAAGGATTTTTGTTCTATTTATACTTAATCTAAAGTAAAGCAGTGCCATCTATTAGCAGGAAATTTAACAAAACGTCATTAAGTGATTATCTACTATATATAAAAGTGGAAAAACAGTTTCTGCCACAGGATACCAAAAACGGCCACTAGGGGCGCCCCTAGCAACTTTTTTATATTTTTACAGTATATTATTTTTTTTCGAAGTTAATTTTGAAGGATGTTATGGGTAGAAAATTTTAAATTTGGTTAAAAATCTGTTTCTTTTTTTTCAATTATTTGAAATTTAAGCGCTAGTCTAAATAAATTATGTATTTTGTTGTAATTAATTAAANAAATTAAAATTAGGTTTAAAGAATTATTTTGTAAATTTTCTATAAATATAAAGAAAATAATGTTGCATTATAAATTTGTAAAAAAGTGTGAAAATTTATCTAGGCAGATATACAAAACTGCATTACTCCGATACATCAAGTTTGTAAAGAATCTAATGGTACGTCTTGTGAATGAATTTAAACATTTAGTTATATATTTTTGTAAAATAGCCTTTCTGTATAATGTTTTGTTAAAAAATTTATGTATACTTTTTTAATGTTTAGTTGGCTGTTTAATATTTAGTAATACTCGTATCAACTGAAAAAAGATGAAAAAACGTCAAGTGTTTAAACAGTAACACGGTCTTGTGTTTGAGAATCATAGAAAATTATAAAACACGATTTCAGAAAATTGAGAATTAATTAAATTCTTATCTTCATAACTACTATTTATATTATAAAAAATCAAAAATATTTAAGTACAGTAGAGTGTCGGTTATCCGAAAGAATTCCAGTTGGCAGATTTAAATTTTTGCTAGTGTTGTGACGCTGCAATCTTTGGCTATGTCTTGGGCTACTCCAATATTTTTTATGTTTGTGTGTGTTTTTGCTGGTAGCACTGGCACTTTGGTGTGTGTCGTGCTGAATCGAACATANCAGCCAACTAAACATTAAAAAAGTATACATAAATTTTTTAACAAAACAACATTATACAGAAAGGCTATTTTATAAAAATATATAACTAAATGTTTAAATTCATTCACGAGATGTACCATTAGATTCTTTACAGACTTTAAAGGTGTACACATGTATTAGAGTAATGTATTTTATTAAATTTTGATAAACAATTCCAACATCAAAATTTAAAACTCGCTCCTCAGGTAATGTCCTTTTTTAATTTTATATTGTTTATGTACTTATATATCAATTACTTATTTTTAAACTAGATGTGTGTAAATTTCATGTTTGTGAAACCTTTTGATTTCATTGTTGGAAAAGTATATTCTGAGTCTCACTAACAAATGTAGTATAATTGTAAAACTTAAGGTAGGTTGTATTTTGTAAATTTTCTATAAATATAAAGAAAATAATGTTGCATTATAAATTTGTAAAAAAGTGTGAAAATTTATCTAGGCAGATATACAAAACTGCATTACTCCGATACATCAAGTTTGTAAAGAATCTAATGGTACGTCTTGTGAATGAATTTAAACATTTAGTTATATATTTTTGTAAAATAGCCTTTCTGTATAATGTTTTGTTAAAAAATTTATGTATACTTTTTTAATGTTTAGTTGGCTGTTTAATATTTAGTAATACTCGTATCAACTGAAAAAAGATGAAAAAACGTCAAGTGTTTAAACAGTAACACGGTCTTGTGTTTGAGAATCATAGAAAATTATAAAACACGATTTCAGAAAATTGAGAATTAATTAAATTCTTATCTTCATAACTACTATTTATATTATAAAAAATCAAAAATATTTAAGTACAGTAGAGTGTCGGTTATCCGAAAGAATTCCAGTTGGCAGATTTAAATTTTTGCTAGTGTTGTGACGCTGCAATCTTTGGCTATGTCTTGGGCTACTCCAATATTTTTTATGTTTGTGTGTGTTTTTGCTGGTAGCACTGGCACTTTGGTGTGTGTCGTGCTGAATCGAACATATTTGATACTAGATCAACTTCCAAAGTATAATTTTTTTTTATATATATTTTTCAATATATTTATTTTGTTTGTAAAAAATAAAGAAATAATTTTTAACGATACAATATCCACGATTATTATTTTAAAAAGTTTATGTTAGGCTTAACGTCGACGAAAATTTAACGCGAAGCAACACGCAACGGAGAAAAATTTCAACACGGGCTAGATTAATATATTTTTTCGTACATAATCAGTTATCCGAACAATCTCAGTCCCCAATTGATTAGGATAATCGATGCTCTACTGTAAATAAAGTACTATATTTATGCTCATATAAGAGTTACTCTTACATGTGAAAATTGCTTGTTTGATTTTGCACTGCTTTGTCAATGTCAATGTAACAATACAGTAAATATTCAGTGACCTCTCTAATAATCATTAGTTACTGTGTGTGCCAGATCATTAAAAATGTATATCCATGGATATGGATGTCAACTTTTGTACTTGGTGCTGGTGCATGTGACCTTGGACTGATAGTTGACACTTTGTGTTAGTAACGTGACATGTTTTGACTTGCACTGCACATGTTTTTGTTTATAGTTTAGTGTGACACAGGATAGCATAGATTACATTTGTGTTTTTGGAAAGTGTTGAGTTAAATTAAAATAAAAACAATGTCGACAAAAAAGTTTAGTAGTGTAATATGGAAATATTTTATGATAGTAAATGAATTTTGCATGATAAAATTTTTGCAATGTGAATGTGCCAAATATGTGATTTTAAGAAATAAAAAGTGATTTGAATTGAAGTTATTAGTATTTTATTGCTACCTATCTGTAAAATTTCACATAAGTAATGAAATTCATTAAGATAAAAGATTCGTTAAAGATCCACTAAAAAGCAAAGGATACGGATCTTTTTTCCCCCCTCATCACTAATCATTATTAAAAGTGGAAAGCCAAAATAAAAAACATTTTTTCTGATACTCTAAAAGTCTTTTTAGATACTTATGGAATATAGTGCTGAATTTTGCCTCATCTACAAGGGCTTGTTCTTTTATGCATAAAAATACGGTATGTAAATATTAAACTGTAATACTTATAAACTTCCAATCTGGAGGAAATAGGCAGAACCAAAGAAGTACTACACTTCAAATGCATTTGATGATACAATTCAATGACAGTTATCTTGCAGGAAGTTTTTATATAATTACTAGCTGCAAGGACCTGCTTCGCTGGGTTTTTATTTTTATGTAATATAGTTTTTTTTTATATATATAAAAGACTGTTTTTCTAAGTAATCTAGAATCTAGCTGCAAGGACCCGCTTCGCTGGGCAAAAAGTAACGATAGTGAAGATTAAGATAATTACATTATAGCT